GATACCTCCTTAGAGATCAGGCAGACGAATCACAGTCCAGCCAACAACCACCAACCTATACCATTCTGTGCACCAATCAGATCCAAAAGTCCTCTATACTCTGCCACTACCTCAACATGACAAGAGCTTGTTTGTGAGTTCCAGGACCAGTGGACAGGTGCAGACACCTATGTCATCAATCCAGAGAACCAGTCTTCAAGAGCTTTGTTGGGCTCTTATGCAGTTATTGTGTCATTACCTGTGAGACCGGCAGCGGGCATCACAGTCTCCAAGAGCTTTAGTGGGCTCCTATGCAGTTATTGTGCCCTCGTTTGTGACAGTCAGCTTGTACCAGATCAAGTCGAGGCCCAACTACTGATTGAGTCAACTACAATCGAATCACCATGGACTGAGGGGAGCATTGACCTACGAAGTGGGCTAAGTTATCTTTTATTCACATTTCATGCTCTTCTCCCACAGCACCCTATCAGTCCGATGATGAACTTATGTAATCCTCAAGACTACATCTGGCTGCTACAATATCTGGGTTGTGTCAATGTTTCCTGAGCTCCATTCACTGAACTCTTGTTGATCTATTCATTATTATATGTATATATTGTACTGATTACATGCATACATTTTTATGGCTGACCTGGGTGTCCTTATTTCACAATTCTAACGGTGTAGCTTTGATGTTTGTGTGAGTAATGAGTGTTATTTGTGTTAACATGGCTATGATAGTATACAATCATGACCTAGGGGCTTCCTTTTTATAGTAGTGGGAGTGTCCAGCCAAGTGTGCCTAGGAATATTATATATTTTGTAGTGCCAAAGCTTGAGTTGCCCTACTCTTGAAATAAGTTGAGCGTATAATGGCCAAGGGGCATCCCTTAGACCAATACGAGCCAACGACTCAACATAATTATTTCAGAGTGCTGTTGGTTTTTAAGGAGAAATCCTTAAATCAGGCACGCGACAGGAGCGGTATGTGACAGTCCCATTCTTCAGTAGTCAACGAAACACTGACATGCTAATGGTACCAGTTGCAACTTTATTAACAGTCCCCCTCTGTTTTCCCTTCAACGTTAAATATCTCTCAGTCACTAACTGTTGACTTAGTCTTTCAGTGTATGGTGGCTACAGTTTTTTTTTCCACCCTGGCATAATTGCTTATGAATGTGCAGTCAGAACATGTAAGAATTAATTAACCGGAACGTTGTTGTTTACGTTATTTGTTTTTTCTTTGTCTATACAGCAAATTATTATTATTATTATTATTATTATTATTATTATTATTATTATTATTATTATTATTATTATTATTATACCTCGTTTAAAGTGTTTAGGCAATCCAGGGCGCCTTATAAATGTCTAAAGTTTCCTCTTCTTCCCCTCCCCCAATCAATGTTTTCTTTATGTGGCCGCCGCGTTTGCCGAAAGATTGTTCCCTGGAAATTTCCTTGGTAGCGAAGCAGTTTAAAAGCACTAAGGAATAATTCATTAGGACGATTCAGTAGTCTTTTTTGTTTCTCCCAAATTTTGCCTCAATAGATGAAAGAAAGGAAAATTATGTTTCTGCCAGAGAATACATGACAACTTTTTAAAGCAGTTATACTGTTTTATTAAAAGGGAAATAATTGCCATCATAAACAACATTGCTCAAATAATTTGAGTCACATCCCTTAATATCGGCGTTTGTGGCTAAGGCCTGCGCACGCGCTTCATAATGCCTGGATGCAGGGTTCGACCCCAGCTGCGGGCCTTGCGCCTTGCTTTGATTTCAACAGTGGTATCGAGAAGCCAAAAATCAATGGCAAATTACTGGACGTAAATCTGCCTAGAAAAACTACAACAAGCAATGCTGGGATTGGTTCTGCAATGTCCTGTGAAAGATACGCAACTAACGTTTTAAACCATGTCCTAATACTATGATATGGCACTAATCACAGGTGTTTCTTTAAAGTCGTTTTACATCTGCTTGAAAGGCGGAGAACCAGCAGTCTGTTATGTCTGTAAAACAGATGTACATGCAAAATCCAAGTTCTAGAACACGACGATATTTCAGAAGCAGTCTAACAACCAGAACTTGCAGTCGGATTTACAATGTATCATCATCATCATCATGTAGCAGGTCCTTTGTAGAATGTCGCACTCATCACGGTCTGCCTGAAAGAAACTCGGTCTCTCGCCAGATCTCCCACCTCATGTACTTTCATACTCATGCAGTTACTTATATCCTGTGCCAGTTGGTGTTGGTAGGCCCCTACTCCCTCTTTCCTGGTACCATGTCTTCTGCTACAATTTTTTTCAATCCGTCGTGGCGCTTGATAAGACCAAAATATTTCAACTTCATTTACATTTCACCCACTATGAGACGCATTTTTTAAATTTTTAATTGTAAAGCCCCTTCTCGGCTGTTGTCAGAGGCCCTAAATATACCTACCTGTTGAATAGGTTTTCTGGGACTTCTGCCCTGGCGTTTCTCATCTAAGAGGGGGCATAGGATGTCACCGGGTGTTTATCACTTGTTTTGCCATCTGGTGGGGTTGAAAGCCCCTATTTATAGGATTCAATGTTAAGAAGAAGAAGAACGCCTATTCATAGAGAACACGACGTTAGCGCAGTTGTTAAACTCCATCCTGTCGGTAAGAATGTTGTCAGTTTGAATCCACATCATAGCAGATTGTAACACGTGTCCTAAGACATGCAAGAATGGATCCAAGGATGTGAACTAGGAAATTGTTTCCTGAATAATGATGATCGAACCACCCATCGTCTGTGAATAGGTGTGACATGTACGAGTAGACCACTAGGTAGATTTAGAAGACGACATACATACAAACACTTGGAGTCACCCACTGGAAAGAGACGGTCCATCACAGAGCTAAATGGAGGTGTGTGATATGTGCAGCAATAGACTTCAGGAACTCGGACAGCTCAAGGAGGAGACAAAGACTGATGATGAAGAAAAGAAGAAAACCCAGAAAATAGTAATAATAATAATAATAATAATAATAATAATAATAATAATAATAATAATAATAATAATAATCCTTTTCCCTGCCTTTAGGCGCATAGGTATTATAGGGCTAGACCTATATTTTTAAAGACCAATCGGCACAAAATGGGTTATGTGGTCAGCATTACGCCGGCTGCCTTTACTTTCCGGGAGTACAGCCGGTATCCACTCAAGGCTGGGTCGACCTGGGAGTCAAGGTCATTTTTTGGAAAAAGCGCACCTATGATTTTCCGATTCGCACTAGAGCGTCTAGCCACTAAGCCACAGCGACTCCCAGTAATAATAATAGGACCATAAAACGAGGATACTGTCTTATGGTGCTTTTATATTTCACATATAGCTCACAGTCAATTTCTCTATTTCGTTCTATCCTGTGCCGTCACTTCGATATCATGGATAGAACCCAGTCCAGCTTCTCTGGCTTCTCTCATTAAAGTGCGCTTAAAGGCCTTTCTTTGACGATTTCCTTAGTCGGAGTCAACATCAGTGGAGTTCAAGGCACAGATTGGGGCGATGCTCAAGAGTATATCAAGAGAGACGGGACCACGAAAAACCAGTCGACACCAGTGATGCAAAACCTAGTAAACAAGATAAGAAAACTAAAGAGACGCAAACAGCAAAGCCACTAGAAAGACCGGCTTGGAGAAGCAGATCAGTTCAGTTGTTTCTAAGAAAACAATCAAAGCGGGTGGCATAAAGAACAGCGACGACTAGAGAACTACACGTTCTACAAAATAGCAGTCATCAAAGGAAAGTACCGAAGAATCCACATAGTACAGAGTAAATTAATTCCAAGCCATTAACAGGAATGATGAACTGGAGCCTCTCGTGTAAATTGTAGAGGTAGAGGACGCCACCGGTAGATCACACCTACAGCTGAGTAACTGAACCACCACGATGAATGTCACACTATGAACATAGCACACACAAAAAAAAAACTAACCAGTGACAGAGACTAGTCAGCTGTGAAGGTGGGAAGAGCCCTAGATCCACCAATCAGCACTGAGACGACGACCCTGCGCTCAGCACCATGAGACGGGGAAGACCCCTTCAGCATGCATGGAGGGTTAAAACCACCAGCGCCAGCAAACTCACAGCACTATCCGGAGCCACCATTATAATCAAAGCTACCTAGGACGAGGCTAAATCCCTAGGTAAATGTTATGTTATCCCATTCGACGTCTTTCCATGCTGGGAATTTCTATGTGTGCTCAGTCCTCCGATGCAGCAGCCACTCCAAAGCACCTCGACTAATTGTTTCCACGAGGAGTTAATTATAGTATTTCCTGTCTCGAAGACGGTATAGACGAGCAATTGTATTAGCGTCATCAATTAAACATTATGCTTCAACCTTTTCAGTATAGCACTGATGACATCAGCTCTGTCCGTGCTTCTTTCCGTTTGTACTGGTGAATTATTTGCCAGCTGGTCAGAAACTATTTCATAACCACTTACTCCACCAAACCCAGCTGTGTAGATCCAGATGATGGAGGTTAACTGCGACTTCTGAATACTTTCAGCCCTTTCGGAGCGTAGAATACCTGTTGCGATTTTCTGAAGCATCTTCATGGAGGCTGAAACGACTACTGCAAGTGTGGCCACTCAGATGAGAAGAAGAAGCTAAAAGTCAAAGTTGGCCAGTTTAAACCGACAACCAACCAGTGTTTTTTGATGATTCTCTATTTGTCTTTTGCATCCATTTTAGCATTGTATTCTCTTTCTCTGTCTTGTAACGGCCGATATTTGTGGTTATGCAGACATTTCTGTTATACCTTCACCTTTCTTGAATACTTCCCATTATACAGTCAAGTCTACTTAAGTCGAATTTTAATAAGACGAATTTCACTTCAGCTGACGTGATTGCACTTAGTCCCGACCTTTTTTCCTCTTTATCTTTGTGTAAAAAGTCCTGGTAAGTCGAATTCTGTTAACTCAATTATTTGGATTTGTCAAATCTAAAAACAGAAACCGACTATAAACACCCCGGACAGTTCATTATTTT